ATTACTGTGCTCTATAAGGGGCGACCTTTGAAGACCGTTTGGAAACTTCATCTGGCCCGAAATGCTGCAGCCAGAGTGTTGATCTGGGCTGGTTAAAGGGAGTAGGTGACTCCCCTGTGACAGGAGCTTCACTGGCTACTGGTCCATTTCTGAGCCCAATTCAAGGTGCTGGTGATGATTTATAAAGACCTATCTGGTCTGGTGCGTGGTGCAGTGGTGGTGCTGTGGGCTAAACCGCAGAAGCCTCTGTGCTGCAAAGTCAGAAGACCAGCCGTCGTAAGATGGAATCCACACAACAGAGTGAGCTCCCGTCACTTGTCCCTGCTCCTGCCAACCTAGCTGTTTGAAAGCATGTAAAAATGCGAGTAGGTAAATAGGGACCACCTCGATGGGAAGGTAACAGCATTCCGTGTCTAGTCATGCTGGCTACGTGACCACTGAAACTGTCTTCAGACAAACGCTGGCTCTACGGCTTGGAGACGGGGATGAGCACCACGCCCTAGAGTCGGACACAACTGGACTAAATGTAAAGGGGAACCTTTACCTTTACCTATATGGTCTGGGCTTGCTGATGGATTGTATCTCTCCACATAATCCTGCTCAGGTCTGAAGATCCTCTCAGTTTCATCACCTTTACAAGTATATTTGACAGAGACTCAAGAATGGGCCTTCTTGGTGGCTGCCCCCGAGGTTAAGGAATGCCCTCCCCTGGCCCCCTCTGTCCCCTCTTTTTGGTTACAACCAGAAAGATTTTTGGTCCACCAAAAAGTAGATATTAAATATCTAATTTCAACATAGCTGGTTGCCCTACATTTGCTGCCAGTATTTCCTTTTTAATATTTTTTTAAAATGTTTTCATACTTTTACATCTGTTTTTATATGATGGCATTAGTGTTTCTATGTTTAATAACTTCAGTGTTTTTGTATGTTGCTTTTAATTTCTGTCTCTTTGAACGATCCGTGAGTGACCTTGAGTCCAGTCCCTGGGAGAAAGGCGGCACAGAAGTGATGTAAATAAATCAATCAATAAAATTTAAAATAGAAATCAATCTAATTTGAACTTTCCTCAAATGGAGCACAATTGTTTCTCACTTTTCCGCAGTTTTAAATTGTGTGATGCAGTTCTCCTACACATACAGAATGTACAAACATATGTTACAGGAGGTGCACAGATTAGAAACAAGGCACAAAAAAAAGGTTCATTTTAAGAAAACTTTCTTGTATCAGAAAAAACGAGGACTCGAATAATAATTTATGTAGATATAAATATATGCACATGAATGTGGGCTTGCTAAGATGGAATGAAATGGCTTTATGCTCGAAACAATGCGAGTATATTGGACAGACATGTCCATTCTTTAAAAAAAAAATTAAAGAGGCGAAAATATTTACCGTATTTTTCCGTTTATAAGATGACCCAAAGTATAAGACAACCCCCCCTTTTCTATAAACACCCAAATTAGAAAAAGCAGGGATCAAAGGGCTCCCTTTTTGCCAAGCCCCGTGCCTTGGCAAAAGGCAAGGAAAGCGACTGTCAAAATGACTGCCACTTTTCCTTGCCTTTTGCCAAGGCACGGGGCTTGGCAAAAAGGGAGCCCTTTGATCCCTGCTTTTTCTAATTTGGGTGTTTATAGAAAAGGGGGGGTTGTCTTATACTTTGGGTCATCTTATAAATGGAAAAATATGGTAACCAACTTGTTCTTTAAAATCCAGTTTTTTTAAAACCTGCTGAATAAAACAACAGTGTCAGGGCTTGATATATCAAGTCTGGTAGATCGGTTCACAAGATGGCTGCCAGAAGAACTTGTGGCTTTCCAAAGGACAACCGCCTGCCTAGCTTTGTGAGGCTAGGGGAGTTGACGCTGTGCCTTCAGATGACAATAGGAACATAAGAGAAGGAAAACATGGAAGAAGGAAGGCTTTCTACGGCCCTTTAGTCCTCCTCAGGCATAACTTCCTCAAAGTAGATAGAAACAGAATAATTAGCTCACTTACAGCGGTGTCCTCCACACCTTGCCACTATTTTTCAACCCCCAGGATGTGTGCCACCTGAGCAACCTCCTTCATTCTGCCTATTAATTGGGCCGGCGTTTTGTTTTAATCACGCAGTGCTGTGTTGCAAGTCTCTCAACAGACACGTTCTTTCCTTTCCCAGTCAAGCAGGCAGAATTTCTAAAAGAGGCCAGCTTGCTTTGTGCAGAGTCCTGAATTACATACACGAAGTATGAGGTAGTGACTTAGCCCAACAGCATTTACATAAGATCCGCTTGAGGAATTCAGGCTCTTTGAGTTCCAATAACAGATGATCTAAGTTTTGCGTGTGTCAGACTAAGGCATGAAATCGGAACAAGATCCATCCGCTCTCGTACTACTTCTAGGCTGGTGAGGTGGTTCTTGGCTATCAAGATGCACAATAAAATGTATTTTTGAGAGGAAAAATGCATTACTTTTAGGTGTGAGAAGATTTCTCAAAAATGAAAGAGGCACGTGAAAATCTTACAGATAAAGGGGGTTTTAAAGCATGTACAAGGCACAGAAAATGATATATTTGTTCACAATATGCAGTTCAGCAGGAGTGCAAGAGGAAAAAGCTCGTTTTGAGCACCAACATGAAGAAAAGGAGGGCAGACTTGGTTATCCAGGGCTTGCTATTCTCTGCACCACCTACGCCTGGTGTGGGAGACTTCCAGAAGCCCAGGGACTGCACACACCCTGCCCCGAATCTTGCAGGGCTCTACCTATTCCTGTACCACCCTCACCCATAAAATATTTCCCTTCAGAAGTCAGTGACCATCTTGCTAATTTGAGAAGATGACGGCGGAACCTAGACCTCCAACAACAGTATAAAGTGCCCCTCTTGTAGCTCACAGATAAATCCAGCATTCTGTAAGTGACGGTAATGAGAGAGATATTTATGGGGGGAACAGAGGAGCTTACTGAATTTTCAGGGAGGGATAAATTCCTCTTCTACATTTTCAGAAATCTAAAATTATAGTCTTTGGCAAAGCATGGAAACTCTTTTCCTAGTCTTTCAATGGCAACTCTATCCAGCAGGTCAGAGAGTTTAAGTATTTGGGTGTCTTTTTTCATTACAAACGCACCTGGTAGACTCACCGGCAGACAGCGATTAAGCCAGTAAAGCTTTCAGCGCAGGCTATCTTACGCTTCCAATGTACTTGGAGCCACGGCGCTGCAGATTTTTAATGCCAAATCTGCAGCACAGCTTCTCTAGGGCAGTGGTCCCCAACCTTGGGCCTCCAGATGTTCTTGGACTACAACTCCCAGAAGCCTTCACCACCACTTTTGCTGGCCAGGATTTCTGGGAGCTGAAGTCCAAGAACATCTGGAGGCCCAAGGTTGGGGACCACTGCTCTAGGGTGTCACCATCTGGATGTCTGCATTCCACAGTTCCATGGAAAGGGTCCAATCGACGTTCCTGTACAAAATCTCTGGCCTGCCCCATTGTGTCTCCTAGGCAACCCTATGCCAAATCTGGAGGTTTCTAATGAACTGGTAAGGCTTCCAGTATGTTCTGGGGTTGGACTGCTTATCTGCAGCCCAAGGATCACCCTAGCTAAGTACAGAAAAGTTCATGACCTAAAGATTGGCCACTTACTGATGAGCTGCAAATCCTCACTTCCTTCTTTCCTCCACTGGATAAACTTAGCATTTCCTAAGATAGTGGGATATTTTCTTTCAGTCTCAAACAGAGTTACCATGTTTCTATGAATATCTCTGTGTACCATTTGTGTGCATGTTCCATGAGTTGCATGAACTATGCAGCTAAACTGCTGCCTTGCTTCAGAACCAGAAGCACCAAATGGATTATTACCTTCCTTTTGATCAATCAGCCAGTCTTTCTGCCATCAGTGAGGGGAAAAAAGCGAATTGTTTGGTTCTCACACTGGAGGCAAGAAATCACCTCAGGGTTAACAAACACTCCACAGATTGTCTTGATGTATCAAGACAGTCTGTCTTGTCGAAAATGCATAACTTAGAGGATTCCATTCCAGCTTTTCGATTTCATTCCCCAGTCCGCTGATCATACGGCAACCGAACTTAATACAGTGGTGCCTCACTTAGCGATCGCTCCTTTGAGCGATGAAATCGCTTTGCGATGAACTTTTGGCCATCGCTGGAGTGATCGCTTAGCGATGTCCTCTATGGCTAAAATTCGCTTTGCGATGATTGCGGGGAAACGTTCATGGCAAAGCAAACTTTTTTAAACAGCTGATCGGTGGTTCCAAAATGGCCGCCGCAAAAAATGGCCGCCACTGTTTTGCCTCGCTGTAGAGGCACCCAAAATGGCCGCCACTATGGAGGAATTTCGCTTTAAGGTAAGTTTTTAGCCCATAGGAACGTATTTAACGCATTTTAATACATTCCTATGGGCTTTTTAAAATCGCTTAGCGATTAAATCACTTAGCAATGTTTTTTCCGGAACGTATTAACATCACTAAGTGAGGCACCACTGTAATCTGCATAATCAAGAAATCCAAGATCTAATAGGCAAATCCCAATTCGTGATCGGTGAGCCTCTCTTCGACCTGGCAAAGAGGCTTATCGTCCCACCTCCTTCCAGGCGTGGCGAGTCGATCGCAAGCTCCGGATAGGAAGGATTGCGGAGCCGGTGGCAGTGGCGAAATTGTGACTGGACAGTCTGACCCCCGGGGGGGCGGCTCGTTATCACCACCTGTGCGGGGATATTCTTATACAAATACCTCCATCTCTAATTTATATATATATTCATGGTTATAAGCAGTACACACCCTTCCCCATTGCCCATTCCTGAGCATTAGGCATATGGCTCTTTGATATGGCATCTCCATTTAGCAGTACTATCCATTATGTAACCATTCGTCTACTTACATATCCCTGCATCTGACAACATTTGGATGCTGAAAATATCCAGACCAGGATAACTCTGTCTTACAAGGAGGTATAAATAAGAGTATCGCCAGGCATATTAGAAAGGCATTAAAATTCAACCATGTATTTACCTGTTGGAAGTATCTAGGAATAATCCATCAAATGATCCTTGAAGTATGCAGTCCTAACCTGGATGCCCTCTAACTGCAGTTTACCTGTTAGAAACAGAAATACAATAAAGAGATCAGCCTCTTTAATGATTTCTTCTTGCGAAAAGCACACCACCAATAGCAGAAACGTCAATTTCTTCTTTGGAAGCCAAGCTACCTGCTGATCTAGTTGAATTATAAACCGTAGCAATCTCGCAGGGAAAAAAAAAAGGTTCACTCTTGGGATTACATTATATTGTGTGTTCATTAAAATCTCGAAGCTACAAGTGGATAGATGAACCTGCGGGCACGGAAGAAGCAAAACATCACAGAATGCAGCTGAACATTCAACATAACAGCTTGTTTTCCCAGGGAATGTAGATGTTGCTAAAGTGGATTAATTAATTCCTGGATTTGGGAAAGAGGATGGGGGTGGAGGTGAATGTGAAGGCCAAGAAAGAACTGCTCAATGACTTAGGTACAGTATCTGGTTGCAAAGCCAGAGACTGGGAGTTTGATTCCCCCACTATGCCTCCTTGACAATGACCCATAGGGTCCCTTCCAGCTCCTGCAGTTTGAAGATTATTATTATTATAGTATTATATTATTTGTAGAGCACCTAAAATTGGGTCCAAAAGTCAAACAGGTCTGAATTTTGGATCTTTTTAATTACCCCAACACTTATCAAAACCATAATGTTTCACCCATTTTTTTCCATCACGAATGGAACATCAGGGCAAATTCTGAAAGATTTATGGGGAGCAGAAAGGGAAGCTGACATGACAACCTGTCTCAAACACTGCATCACAAGAGATGTGTTTTTTTTTCAGCTTCAGGGATCCAGATGTACAATTACATCCTAGTTAAGATAGGAACCTGCTTTAGTCATTTCAATCATGCTTCCTTCCCTAAACAGATTTCAGGGAGGCATACACAGAAATCAAGGATCTGTTACAAAAACAACGGTATAAAACACAGCATCAATACAGGGCAGTAGAGTGTATTTGAGTAAGTAGGTTTTGTGTCCATGTAGAGCTGACATCATTAGTTTATGTTATGATCAATATCCCATACTAATAGTCTACCTAGTCTGCAAGCACAGACTAGCACAGCTACCTCTTCCAAAACTACAATTATGATTAGAGATGGGGGGTTTGTTGTTGTTTAGTCGTTTAGTCGTGTCCGAGGCTTCGTGACCCCATGGATCAGAGCACGCCAAGCCCTCCCGTCTTCCACTGCCTCCCGGAGTTGGGTCAATGTCATGTTGGTTGCTTCGGTGACCCTGTCCATCCACCTCGTCCTCTGTCGTCCCCTTCTCCTCTTGCCTTCACACTTTCCCAACATCAAGGTCTTCTCCAGGGAGTCTTCCCTTCTCATGAGATGGCCAAAGTATTGGAGAGAGATGGGGGTATCCTATACAAATACAAATATCCCCGTGCAGATGGACTTAACGAGGGGCTGGCCCCTGCGGCCGGCCCATCTACTCATGTGTCCGCCCCTGGTGGCCTTGCTCATCCTTCCAATTGCTCCTGGAGCTACACTCTCTTCCTGCTCGGATAGCAACTCGACAGCCATGCAGGGAGACTCATCCTCCCTCCCACTGTCTGGAGTGGCCAGGCGAGCAGGAAGAGAGCGGCGCTCCAGGAGCAACGGGATGGATGAGTGAGGCTGCCACCGCTTCTGGACACACGAGTGGACGTGAAGAGAGCGGCGCCCCAGGAGCAACGGGATGGATGAGTGAGGTTGCCACCGCTTCTGGACACACGAGTGGACGGGCCAGCCGCAGGGGCCGGCCCCTGGTTAAGTCCAACTGCGCAGACTTAACCCCATCTCTAATTATGATCAATATGTTACTCTTGGGGGTGCTAGCTGATTAATTTGATGCAGTCAAAAAACCACAGCTATCCTTGCGGAAACAGTATGAAAAGGACACACAAAACCTTAGGAAGGCAGCAATGAAGGAATTAGAAAAGGATGTGTCACTGGAAACCAAGCCCAAGATGATTCGCAGACTTGCCTTTCTGATCATCATGTATCGGTGTGAATGTTGGAGAGTTAAGAAAGATGACGGGGCAAAATGGTTCATCTGATTCAAACAAATAATGTTCGCACAGGAAAAAATCGGAAAGCAAAATAAACCAATTTCTGTTAAAAAGACCTTCTTTTGCTCAAAACATGCTCCCAAACACTTGTTCAAAAAAGAAATGGTTAAAATGCATACAAACTCTCTCATCATCTTGGCCAGTGGGGAGAAAAATATGGAAAAGTTTTGTTTTCACTAGTGAGAATGAAGCAAGGGAAGATTCTAGAAGTCTCCCACACCTACTTTCAACCCTTCATGACTGGCAACAGGTGCAGGATTTCTAGACTGCAACGATTATTCAACTCATGCTTTCGCTTACGTTTTGAAAAGCGCTGGCCAGAATGCGCGGCAGGAGTAAGAGCCTGCAACTAACTCAAGTGTTTGTCTATTAAACCATTTGAATAAATAAATAAAAATGCAGATAAAAAGCATGTAGAATGTTACACATAAAATGATTAGCATGCCAAAACATAACTAAACTAAATACAGTAGAACTCCCATATTGGCGGAATCTGCATCCATGGCTTAACTTATTCACAGTATGAAAATTTAAAAATTTTTAAATTTAAAAAGAACTCCGAAATACATGTTTACATGATGCACCTACCAAAACTGGACACTAGAAGGAACCAGAGACTATGTTATATAGATAATCGGCCACCATTTTCACTTAGTCTCTTGCCAGTCTGAGGCGATTCCCTTTACCTCCCAAGCATCTTTAATGCCAGCCCCTCCCCTCGGTTATTGTCCTTAAAGGTTGGAGGGAGAAAGAACCTTGGTTCCAACAGATTATAGGGTTCTCTATTATCAGCAGTTTTCAGTATCTGCGAGAACGCTTGGAACGGATCCCCCACCGATACAAGAGTCCTACCTGTATAATAGTAAAGAGCTGTCAAATGTAAACTCTTTAAAACGTATCAACCGCTGTGTCCAGGAAAGAAAACCTGCAAGTCAACCTGATTGTCTTTGCCTTTAATTTTAGCATTTCTGGTTTCAGGACTAAGCTAGAACTTTTCTTTTTAAGTCTCTTTAATTAAGCATGAAGAAACCTCATTCTAAATCCATCACCGGTATAATTTGCACTACAGAGAACTTGGGTACAATATAATTAGTCCATAAATGCATCACAATAATTTATTCTTGGTTTAAAAGGCTGAACAGTCATGGCCTCCTAACAAGATGAGCAAAAGGGAGCCAGGAACACCTTCCAGCTCTTATTAATTCAGTTATTCTACCTTTGGTGCACCTTTTTCCTCCCCTGCAATGTGAATTCTCCACCAAGAAAGGCAGGGGAATATTCAAGGCCTTTTGACTCACCAGGAGATGTAAAGGCTCGGGCAAAGCAACAAGAATTTTTTTGCATTATTGCATTTGCATTATTATGATTAACACTCCTCTAAAAGAAATTCAGCAATATTAATTACAGGAATAGTAAGATCCAAATAGCCATAAATCATTAGACAGCATAATGTAAACTCCCTGAAACCTTATCAAAAACTAATTTTGCATGACTTTCTTCCCTGCTATGGCTTTCTACTTCATTTATACAGGGTCTGTTGATGTAACAGTAGGAATAGCCTCTGCGTGACTGAGAGGCACAAAAAAAAATAACCTGCAGGTAAAATTGATTACTTTTCTTAAAAACTACTTTGGTGTAACAGAGAATTTCTGGAGAACAGAAAGATATTTTGGAGAATGCAAAGATAGCTAACGCACATTCCAATATACTGTATGAAGGTATCTGGAAAAATCTTTCTACCTTTCATAATATGCATGATTATGTATTCTCTAGATCAGAGGTCCCCACCCCCTGGTTCATGGCACGGTGCCGGTCGGTGGACTGAGCCAGACCAGGCCGAGGAGAAAGACCCCCTACCCCTGCACGCACTCCACCCCGCACAGCCCATTTGCGCCTGTGCCCACATGAGCATTCCCCCACCCTTTCGTGCATGCGCACGAGTGGCCCCTAAGCATTTCAACACCCTTTGCGCATGCGCATGAGTGCAAGCGCACATGCATGACCGCTATGCCGCCTTTTGCGGATGTGCATGAGCGTGCGCATGCCCGCACATGAGAGAGAGCACTCCATGCATGCGCACGAGCGCAGGGGGTGCCCTGCCTTCCCCAGCTGGTCCGTGAGGCTAAAAAGGTTGGGGACCACTGCTCTAGATACAAACAGTAGTGCATTGAGCAAACTTACATCGTTTTTTCCCCCCACACAAAGCAGCACAGTTGCAGAAGACCCAGCAGTTAGCTGAGCCTAATTAACAAAGTGCTGGTTATGTGCCCGCTAGTTAATTAGCCTCCATTAGCTGCTGTAAAGTCCACAGCTGCATTATCACAGGTTGAAAAACCAACCGGAATTCAACAATTTGACAACTATACACAATATTGCGAATACATATATGATATGAAGGAACTTTTATTGGCATATCACCACCACATTTCCTTGGGAAAACTTGTTTTATTTTATATTTTAGATAATTAAATAATAGGCACAAAGACTTCAATATAGAGTAGGAATGCAGTATCAGTGGGGGGTTGGTTCCAAGTCTCCCCTCCCCCCCCAGATGCTGAAAATCACGGAAGTATTGAAGGTAGAGATGGGCATGAATTAAAAAACAAATGGTATCAGTGGGGGATTGGTTTCAAGTCTCCCCTCCCCCCAGATGCTGAAAATCATGCAAGTATTGAAGGAAGAGATGGGCATGAATTAAAAAACAAATCATCAAATTTGTTTAAAAAGTGCTAATTCGTTGATTGATATTCGTATGAATCAATGCCCCAAGAAATATGTACGAATCAATGAATTTTTAGCAATTTTCCATCTGTTGTTTGTTGGGCTATGTAATGCCCCCCAGGCACTTAGGGACACCAAAATCACACAGAAGCTTCTACTGCTGTTGTTTGTTGGGCTATATAATGCCCCCCAGGCACTTAGAGACACCAAAATCATACAGAAGCTTCTACTGACACTCCTCTA